ATTTTGGGGGCTCACCTGCGTTGGGGTACTGTGGTGGGTTGATGGCAACAGTGATGGGTTGGTTGTGTTGGAGCAGAAGGTCATGTCTGGAGTTGATGCAAGGATGCAGGCTATCCCGGTGGGTATCAGGAGCGTGGGCGAACAGGGGCAGCCAAAAATGTGCAACATATGTGTGATGGGAACAATCTGCAAATGCAGCGGGGAGGCTTTTTTGTGTCCGTGCGGTTGAAGGCAATACGGGGTGCTTTGCGTTAGGGGGGCTGGTGTGGGAAGAGGCATAAGAAGGAAAGTAGATTTGGAAAAAAAGGCTGTTCCTAGCGTAGCGTGGCGTGGCTGTGTAGGCAGGTTGTTATCTGGGAGAATTGAGCTGTAGTGGGGTCTTGAGCTACGTGTGAGTACTGATACATGGAGATTTATTGGTTAATTATTCTGAGGGTTGTATGGAGTGGTTGGTGTGTGAGGGGGAAAGGGAGAGCTAGAGACGGGGATGCGGGTCTCAGGGTGGAGAGACTGCTCCTTTACGGGCTCTGTGGAAGGGAGTTTTGTGGTTTTGAGATTTGTGTGTGTTATATATTCTTTACGATGCTGCCCGATTAGGGTGGTTTGGGCTGTAACCATTTCCAGTCTGATTGTCGTAGCTCACTGTAGATGTTTGAGATTTTGGATGCGATGTTGAGATTTCTGGGTGAGGAGAAGAGATTGCAGGGGTTTGCCGGGTGGAGAACTGTATAATAGTGGCTAGGAGAGATTGGGAGGGGAGGAAGACTTGAGAGGGAGTGTAAACAGAAATCCCTTGTCATCTCCCGAGCTCCCCAGTAGCCCTGGCAGGCAGCTGCAGTGAAGATCTCTCCTTGGCTCGTTCCTGCCTCTCGACCTCTTGTTTTGCGGGTGGACTCTGCTTTTGTTAAACAGTTCTTTATTTCTATTTTAGTTTGCATTTGGTGGCTTATTTATATTACATGTGTGTCATTCTTTGCCTATATTATTTCATTTGAGATCACTTCTATTACATGGGTCATCTTGTGTGGGTTTGTTTATTTTGAGTAGGGTTTTTTTATGTACAGATAAAAATGAAAATGCTGAAAGTTCATGTTAAAATAGACACTTTTTCTGCTTAAAGTCAGGGACATACATGTGTTTGGGGTTTTTTTTATATCGTGGAAAACTTGGCTTTATATGATGTTGTGATGAAAGGGTGCTTGTTGCTGGGGGATTGTTTTCAGTGTTAAAATTGAGGAGACTTTTGCTAACTGCTGAGATCTAGGGTGTTATTGCCTGGCTAGCGGAGAAGAGGGAGACTTGTATCTTCCTCTCCGAATTTTTCATCTCTCTTCCCCCATTACAGTAACTGTTTGGCATTTCTGTCCTCATGAATGCATAATGTCTTCAGATATGCTGGTGATTTTTTTTTTTTAGGCCATTACATGGATTCTCAGTGATCACTAGAGGGCTTAAATGCCAAGACCACTTGTTTTATAAAAAACAAGAACAAAAACAATGCCAAGGTTCCTTTCCAAAATCAAGTCATTCTCGATACCTGTGCCAATGGTGCTATCTGCCAGTTATCAAGTAGGTTCCCAAAGTATTGAAATTTTAGCTTCATGATCGCAAGGTTCACCAGAGAACTATGCCAATACTAAAAACATAAGGCCAACCGTCTGAAGCCTTTTATAGAGGGTTCTTTTGATCTGATGCACGATCAAAAAACAACTTGATGGTTAAGCTATCTTTAAATGATAGCAATTATAGGATAGTTTAATAAATTTCAAAATTGTATGGCTTGCACTGAAGTGCTATATGTACACACTATAATTTAATTTTTTTTGCCCAGTGGCCTACTTTTTCTTTTTTGGTAGGCAAAATTCTTTTGTTGCACACAAGCTACCCTCCCAGGGTCTGGAATAAAATTGCACTTTCGTTAATGGTTAGGCATAAGCATGAGATTCTCACCATGTACAGTGTAAGCCTGCTGGGGTGACAGCACTTATGGAAATCAGCCTTTATGAATGTTGCGGAGGGTTAAACTGCACTCTTAACTCTGTGCTTGGATTTTCCACTGAAATACACAATTTCAGAATAGATGAGGGACTACTTTTTGTTGTTGTTGTTGAAATTTGACTTAAGCTCTACAGAAAATATATGTGGTCTGTGGTTTTTTTGTAGGTGAAAGTTACACAAGAGCTAAAAAACATTCAGGTTGAGCAGATGACAAAACTTCAGGCCAAGCATCAGGCAGAATGTGAGCTACTTGAAGATATCAGGTAAGGTTACAGAAAATGCTACCAAAATTCCTTTAAGATCCAGTTTTTGGAAGAACGTTGAGTTACAAAACTTCAGGAACTGACGATGGAATTTCCTCTTTGGATTTCCTGCTTTTAGGCTGTTAAAGTTTTGACACAGCTGGAAATTATAACTGGAGCTAACACAATGCAAACCATTTTTTCTTCTCTTCAATGGGGGAAATGTTAAAAAAAAAAAAGTCATAAACAATATACAAAAAGCATTGGTCTTTTCAGCAATATTTCTCTATCTAATAGACTAAGACTTTGTTTTACCAGTTGTAAGAGGCTGCAAAAATTATTGAAATATTTTAAAACCATTGATGATTTATATCTCACTGGAGATAGCTTCGAACAGCACTTTTAAATTAATTGTATTTTTTACCAGAAACTTATAAGAAGATATTTGCATTTATAATTTAAAACTCTGCACAGGTTAAGATCAATAGAGAAAATCTATGTGACATCAATTGTGGGGGGTTTTATTATTCATTTTACCTAATGTGATTGCTTCTCTTGAAGTTAAAAGTTTGCGTTTAACAAAATATGGGGGTAGTGGGTACCTGGCATTATCCTGGCGTTATTGTTATGAATCAGTCCATTTGGAGAGGATCAATTTCTAGGATGGTTTCTCTGTAAAATATTCAGCAGTAAGTCTAGTGCTGTCCTGCTCTTTCTGGCAGTGTATAGTCCACCATTAATTATTTAAATGAGATTTCTTGCTTTATATTTGTATATAAAATGCAAATGTGTTAACTTTCACAGATGACATCCTGTTTGTCTCGCTCTCACAGTGTCCTCTCTTAATAAATCGGAATGTCGAGGCTTGAGCCTTCTCTCCACTGTTTTTCTTCTGTGGGTGTTGAAACGCTTTTTTTGTATGGAAAAGATCACAGCATTTATTTCCTTAGATGAAAATTAGTGACTGTGCAGCGTTTAAATAGCAAATGCTGAGTAATAAGTAACAGACTGATCCAAGGAATTTTTCCCCCCCTAGATAGGAACTTATTTTTAGAACATCTAGGCCAGGTACTACTGCTCAAGTCCGGGTTTTGTTAGCATTTCCTATTTTCAGGAGCTTACCATTAGTCTATATTCTGCTGAAAGATGTCATAAGCATTATTAGTCTGTGGATGCAAGACCAGGAAAACATGAAAATGCTGACTTACGATATTTTTCTTTAACGTAATTTAATTTCTACAGTTAATTTAATTGGTAAATGTTAATGTTATGGGTTAAGAAACCAGGTTAATGTATTCAATTCACTAAACATATGTGGTCTCTGTTCAGCGTTCTTGTTGCAAGCAATCTGCGTTTGCAAAATCACTGCATGGAGTTGCAGATTAAACATTTTTTAAACATGGAATCATGTGATAGTATATGACAGCTCTATTGTGTCAATGATTTGTTCAAATATCAGATAAGAGAGAACAAGAGAGTTTTTGCTTAAAAACTTTTGCTGGAAAAAAAAAAACAACAAACGATCTTGGTTTAGGATGCAGAGGCCTTTTAATTGCATCTAGCTGTGAAGGCGGAACGGGGCTTTGAAGACTTGGTAGTCTTGATACTGCGCCGATCGGTGTGTGACACTCATGTGAGAAGTTGGGTGTCAGCCTCGTCAACCCATTACTTGTGTATTTATGACTGTATTCAGGATATGCAGCCACCGTGATTCCGGAGTGTTCCAGAAAGCAATGCTCACTGGAACCACACACAGGATCTTTTTGTCTGTGGAACTAAGAATTATTTTTATAGAAAGTACCCTGCTGTTATCCAAAAGTATTAAATTGTAACTGAATGCTATTTGTTTATCAAGACTTGAGAGGGTTTGGGTCCTTCTGTAGCAGCGTTGGAGCTTTCGGGCGCTGCAAGAGTACAACTTGGTACTCTTGTATTATGCTGCTCTGAATTCTGCAAACTAAACTGCTGCAGTGGCAACGCGAAACTCTGACTACATGGCTTGCAAGCTAGTGATTAAGAATGCATATTTTAACATATTAAATTATTACAAATAATTACTGTATTTGTTAGCATATAAATGCAAGCATTCAGATCACATAGTATTTGTATAGGATTTAAAACTCTTAATTACATTTTTTATATCATTTCAGTTCGGTTTTCTATACAACTAAAAAGAAGTGATACAAAAAAAGGATCAGAAAGTTCTCTTATGAGTTCTAGCAAAACACATCTATTGTCTCGTATATTAGCAGATGATTTTTGGCAGCCTACCAGATCATAAGCATACTTGCCATTCCAATAGCTTTGATATCTTTATGCAAAACTGAGCACTGCTCTAAATGTTTGTAGTTTGAAAACTTAAGCTATGTCATTTGGAGAGGATGAAGACTGAACTACTGTTTATTCCGAACGGGATTCTTGGTCAGGGTTGAGGCATATAGGTGTAGCTACCTTTACTGTAACCCCTCTGCAGATACTTAATCTGCTTGAAGGCTGTACGTAAACAAAACCACCATGTTTATTTAAATCTAAGATATTTCTTCTTTTTGAGTGATAATACAGTGTTTTGTATGCAAGGACGTAGATTCAGGTCCTGAAGGCCAGGCAACATGTTTTGCCTGTGGAAAGCGTACTTGGGACTTGAGAAAACTCTGTTAGTAGCTGAGTGGAAAGCTTTACTGGGAGTTAGACAACTTTTAACACAACGTAAAATTCTAGTATCTGTTAAAAAAAATAAAAATCAAATATCCATTGCAGTCTTACAAACTGTGTTGTATTTCTCTTCTCTCTGGAACCTTAGTAGCTGTAAAGCTGAAGTATCTTTTCATGACTTGACAAGACTATAATAAAAAATGTGTTTTGCAATGTGTTAGCAAATAGGTTTAAAAATACATTTCTGTGTTTATAATCTCTATTTGGCTCTTCGTGTTACATTTCTTCATACTTAGTGAGTGGGGAATTTGTGGAACAAGTGATTCAGGATGCTTTTAGGATCATTGGCTCAGTTTTAGGCATGACATATGTTTATCTTCTGTAGCTCAGTAAAGCTACCATATACTTTCATGTGGTAGATCTGTGCTGGCATTACTATAAAAAGATTGTCTTTCTGGAACTGTGATGGAGAAAGAGGTTTTTCCCCCTGAAAGGTAAATGTAGGCTGTGTTGCTGTGAACCAGAAATCCTTTAAAGTTTCTCTAGGGCTAGAAGTACTTCCTTGCTCTGTCCACACCTGGCTGCTTTTAGGCAGCAAGTTAATTCCTACCCCCCCCCCACCTGGGACCAATTGGGTTATGAATGGCTGAATATGTCCGATGTGTTAGCAATTTTTGTATATTTTATTTTGGTTTTAAAGATTGCCTTATTTGATTGGTGGTAGTAAATAAGTCACACAAGCTAGTCTGAAATTGCCCTTAGTTTGCTAGCACATAGGCATACTTTCCTTTTGTGTGCATGCACGTGTCTGCAAAATTGTAAAGAGCTCCGTATAATCCACATTTTAATACAAATTGGTATTTCTGTAATGTATTTATATGCTATAGTTGCTTTACAAGTTTATAAAGCCTATCACGTAACCTTGAGCGTTATCTCAAGGCCTGCTTTGCAAGAGAACTTTATATGCCTTTACGGTTTTTGCTAATGTATTCTAAAATGTCTTTTCTAAAACTTCTTTGCTTTCATGTTTTGCCAGAGAAAATGAGGTTGTGGTTACATGGCTGTTTTAATCTGTTCTAAAGTCTGGACTGGCGCTGAAGGGCCAGCTCCACTTGCCAGCTGTTTCTGCTGTCTCCCTGTAAGCACAAAGACAGGTGAGCCATGTGGGTTAGGGAACTCACCCACCTGAAATCAAACCTTCCCTGACTTTTCTCCCCAAAAGGGATAATTTTTGGATAAATCCATTCCTGGATCCAGCTTGCTGCATGGCTGCACAAGTGCCACTGCTAGTGTGAGAGCTAGGAGGAATGAGTACCTGAGGAAGGAGAAGGAAAGCAAGACTGTGCAGTAGCCGCCCAGGTTCACGTGGGATTAAAGTCACTGAGGAACCGCAGCCTAACGCTCCTGTAGAAGGCCCAGCTGCTGCTTTGTGAACTATAGAGCTGGAAAGGCCACCGTAGTTAAGTCTTAGCTAATTTTTGCTGTCTGGATGTGTTGATCCTATGTTGCTTCATCACTTTAAGTCAGATGACTGTACAGCATGTTGGAAATAGATGTGAAGATTGCATGATTTCTGGCTAGGATGGAATAGCAGTACAGTCCTTTCACTTGTTGGGTCCCAAATTTAGTTTTTCATCACTTTCAACTAAGTTCATATGTAAAAGGAATTGTCAAACACATAGGCGTATAATCTTCGTGTGCTTCTGATATGGATGCAAATGTATGTACAGATACCTCATTCTGTTTCTTTTCCTCTTCTGTCCTTGTGGTTTCTCCCTCTGTACTTTTTCTTTTTTAAAATATCTTCTCATTGTTCAGTCTAGCATATATCCCAGTGTAATGTATCCTATAAATTAGTTCAGCTTTTTTTTGGTAAAGCTGCGTTCTCCTCTCGCTCTATGTCTGTGTCATTCACCTTTCTCCTGCTGCTGCCTTGCCTTTGTGTGGTATTTTCTACCATCCTCTCCTCCAAATCTCTGCCTTCTGAAGATTGTTTCTTCCTTCCAATTTGTCAACTCATTTTTTTGTTTCTCCTCCCAAATACTTCATCTCTTCTCTAGTCCTTTCTTTGTCGAATTTGGAGCTTGTGAATTTGGGCATCACCTCTATGTCTGAGTTGGTTTTGGATTTATTTATTTGCCTGCTAGATTTGTTAAGCCTCTGTGTTTACTTGCTAAATGGGGAGATCTTCTTGTGGGTCTTCCTTAACAATCCGAGTCGTTTCTGGTCTCAGATGCTGCTGCCCTTTCAGCGGGGCTGTGCTTCGCTTCTGCTCCGCTGAGACGTAGAAGGTTAGATGTGGAGTTTGTGGGCGAGGGAAGAAGGAACTTACTGGGGATTTGTGTTTATGTGCTCAGTACGAGGACAGA